AAGATATAAATTTAATCAATTGCAATTATTTATAACTTAATTATATTCGATTATATTTTAATAGAAATCTGACTTTATTTTTTATTTAGGAGGAACCAACATCTCAGCATGTTAGATTGCGTATATGAATATATTACAAGGTTGTTGGGAGATGTTATACTTACTACAAGCATCATAATGTGTTTGTTTGATTCATGTAATTATTTTAATTTATATAGTATGGATTTGTTTGTGGATCTGATAAAATATATGTTATTTAGTTTGAGCATTTTGCTTTTAAAATTGACTTAAATGCAGATTGTATGAGTTTTGCTGTGATTCATGATTCTGTTTGAACGTTGAAATTATGATTTTTGGTTTAGCAACAGAATTTAAGTATTTTGTAAAATTGATTCATGGTTCTGTTTGGAAGTTAAAAATTAACAGGCTAACGAGCTAAGTCAGGCTATTTGTTTTTTTTGTAAACGGGTCAAGCCAGGCTAACAGTTAGACTCGTACTAGGCTTGGGCCAGGCCAAATAAAAAAAAGTTGACGTAGGCTTGGGCTTTTTGAGGCAGAGCTTGGCTCAACCCAGTCCACTTTCACCCCTAATTACGTATAGTCAAATAGAACAGGTATGAACTTTTAAAAAAGTATATTTATAAAGCAAGCCATAGGCTTTTTTTTACAGGCCGATCTATATCATATTATTTATTTTAAATTAAAAAAATATTGTTTATGGTAGTATCAAATGGTGATAGTTCAGTTGGTGTATGTGCTAAGTAGATGATAGAAGGACCTAGGTTCGATTCTCCACCAATACTACCTTTTGGAGTGATATAAGATTTGTATCAATCTCTACAACAGCATCAGAATCAACATTTTAACTTGGCTGAAGATATCTATCCAAATTTTAATATATGGTGGAGATTGGCTTCGTAATAAGTATGGCTTGAAGGAAGAAAAAAAAAGTATATTTTTTTTTATTTTTAATCTTATTTTTTTCTTTCTATTCTTTACTTTTGTTTTTGTTTTCTATATTTATAAATTATTTGCCAACTTATGTAACCTTGGAATTGTATTTGTAGGGAGAGAAGATGATGAGAAATTTTTGGCTACTACAAGCATTATGATGCATTTGTTGGATTCATGTAGTTATTTTAATTTACATATTATGGATTGATTTGTTGAATCTGATGAAATATATGCTATTTAGTTTGGGCATCTTGCTTATGAAAGTGATTTAAATGTAAATTGTGATAAATTGTTGTTTTGATTTATGATTTTGCTTGAACATTTAAATTATGATTTTTGTTTTAATTACAAAATTTGAATATTTTATGAAATTGATTCATGTTTTGTTTGAAAGTTAAAAATTAATAGGCTAGCGGAACAAGTCAAGCCATTTATTTTTTATAAATGAGTCAGATCAAACTAATAGTTAAATTCGTATTATGCTATTAGGGGTGTTCAAAAAAATTAAATGATCCAAACCAATCCATAAACTGAACCAAAACAGTTCCAAAAACCGGTTTTTATAAAACGGTTTAAAAAACCAATCCAGTTTTTTAATTTTGGTTTAGGTTCAGTTATCCATTTTCATAAAGTTTGGATATCCAACATAACCAAACTATATCTATTTTTTTAATAATATTTTTGTTTTTACATTTTAACCCTATCTTCAATATTCATAATCTCTTATTTTTGAGCCCATGAACCCTAACTCCCAAATTCCCAATTTTAATGGATTTGCAGTAACTCTTGAATGGAAAAAGGAGTAGAGATTATACTTTTTTTATTTGGAACAGGAAAAAAAAATCTGAATCTGATGCTGGAAAAGTAAAAATTTACATGCTTTGCTTGAATGCAGCAACGTGGTGATTGATTTTAAAGTCGGTTTTGGTATTGAATCGTTACAATCAAAATTGGTTTTTCGTTTTGAATTTAAAAAGGAGTAAAAATTCCCATCTCCTATTTCTTCCCATTACATTTTACAGTTTTTCGTTTTGAATCGTTACAATCAAAATCGGTTTTGATTAAATCAAAACCGATTTTCAACCATAAACCGGTTTTGGAACCGGTTTCAAACTGGTTTGGATAAATAAATATCAGTTTTGAAAAAAAAAACTGGTTCAATTTTAAAATCGAACTGTTTAAAATCGGTTCGGTTCGGTTTTTGTCAAAACCGGTTATGAACCGCTCCATACACATCCCTAATGTTATATAGGGGTTGTTTGGTATGATGCAAACAAAAAAATTCCCTCGAAAGTGGAGTTGGGTAAAAATTTTGGCCATGTTTGATAGGTGAAGACTTAAAAATGAGATTGGAAAATTTTCTTCCTGTCAAATTATTTTCCACATCCACATATTATCCAATTTTAGCATTGAGAATATGGTAAAAAAAACTTCCATCGGTGGGGGAAAGTTTTAACACTTTTTGAATACCAAAAAACCCTTCTAAGCCCTAGTCCCTCAGTCTTGTCAAAATGAACATAGCTTACCAAAAAATTCATGAATACATTGGTAGTTTCGGTTAATATTCTCATCATTTTTGTTGAGATATATAGAGCCTGTTTGGATCCTCTTATTTTTAAGCTAGAAGCTACTTATAAGCTAAAGTTAAAAAAAAGAGCTTAAAAAAATAAGCTAAAAGTTGTTTGGAAATTACATAAAAGTTTTAGCTTAAAAATTACTTAAAATCACATATTTCAAGAAAATTATCTCTTTCTATCTTTATCACTCTTCATTTTAAAAAAAAAAGCACATTCAAGAAAAACAGATAAGAGCTTAAAAAAAAGCTCCTTCTAGGAGCTTTTAGTTTTCAGCTTTTTTCTTCATTATAAAAAAAGAGCTTTTCGTTATAAGAGCTTTTCCCAAAACCTATTTGGCCTAGCTTATGCTTATAAGTAGCTTGTAGCTTAAAAAAGAGAGGATCCAAACAGGCACATAATCTCACATTGGTTTGTATGAGCAACTAATGTGGAGTTTATAAGGACTTGGGCACTCCCGCCCTTTGAGCTAGCTTTTGGGGTGGTATATCCCAAAGTTCTTATCAAGTGGTATCAGAGCCTCGTGTCCCGGGTTCAAAACTCGTCGCCCCCCACTTTCTCTTGTGGAGTTTCTTAGCACAGGTAGGCTGGTCCTGTTGCATTATCCACTCTTTAAGCCCAATGTGCTCTTGTGTGAGGGGGCGTGTTGAGATATATAGTTTCGCATTGATTGTATGAGCAACTAATGTGAAGTTTATAAGGCCTTGGACACTTTCACTCTTTGAGCTAGCTTTTGGGGTGGTGTATCCCTAGATTCTTATCAAGAATTTTTTTACAATCAATCAAACATGGGATAGGATATGGTGACACTCAAGTTATGTTACACCCATGTGACACCCAGTCAATCTCACCGTTAGATCGCTTATGTTGATCCAACGGTTATATTTATTTCCATCTTTGTATGGTCATGATTTCCCAAATTTACTATTTTATATTTATTTCTACCTTTGTATGGTTATGATTTCCCATATTTAATGCTTTCACTTTAAATTTGGGAAATCATGACCATACAAAGATGGAAATAAATATAACCGTTGGATCAACATAAACGATCTAACGGTGAGATTGACTGGGTGTCACATGGGTGTAACATAACTTGGGTGTCACAATATCCTATCCCATCAAACATAGCTTAATAAAATTAACCCAAGTTCTTCGATAAAATTTTGACCTACCAAACACATTTTCGTTATTTACCCGATAACAAAAATTTCTCATCATATTCTTAAAAAACTTTTTTTCCCGATAAAAAAAATTCTGGTTCCAAACACCCCATATGATCATATCAAATTAAATATTTTCGATATAAGGTTGAGTTTTTGGGGACAAAACTCGACCCACCTACTATCGGAGGATCAAAAATTTTCTCGTGTTAATCAATCATGCGGTAAACAGTAAAAAGTAAACAGTAGAGTTACTTAAAGCGTTGGAAAAATCTGTACGAAGATACCAATAGGATTTCCCATTAACTCAAATATGGACGAAACGAAAACAATAATTTTACAAACTTTTCTTCATCATCAATTGCAGTCGCGTGACACCAAATATATCCGACAAAACACAGTCATGTCACAACAAAAGAGCCCAAAAATTGATGAGAAAATAACACTCATGAGTACATTTCATATTTCCCAAATTTGTTAAACAAACCAGTTTATTTTTTTAAATATGCACAAAATGAATAAACAACTAAATTATTGGCCGCCAGGAAGAAGGGCAAAAGAAGAAATTTTGTGGACAACCTGGAACAAAAGTTTTTCTAAATTTTTTTTCTTTTGGAAATATTTCAATCGATTTATCGCTTCGCAATTAATCCGATTCGAGACGGGTTCAGAATTAAAGCTTTAAATTCCTCCCAAAGAAGGTACCGGGAGGATTCGAACACATGCTCTCTCCCCAGCTCGCTCCTATGCGCCAACTGAATTACCACCATTTGATTCTTAATTTATTTTTTTAAATAACAAGAGGTGCGGTCTTAATAAATCGGACCAATCCAATTTCATATTTGAGTCTTGTCACCTTTCCTAACATTTGAAGAAATTGAATCCATTATCATTAGAATTGAGACCGATTAACTCAGTTTAATTACTGTCGGACCCACAAGGGAGACTCTTTAAGACCATGTTCTTTGTTCCCAAACTCGAACTGGAGAGTTATTCTTATTCTTTCGTTTTAAATGTATATTATCTTAATTATAAAATAAAAAAAAATATGAGGCAATGGTGCTGACGTAACGTAAATTTAATGTTACACCACAGTGCATGTAAAGCATTTGTAATTTTACTTCTCATTCTCTAACCACTCACTTCAAATATGTATAACTGGTGGTTGTGGCTCCTCATTTTCTTTAACCTTCCTTATGAAGGGTAGATGAACTCAACGACCCTTCAATACCCTTCAAGGAATTAACATCCCCACATATAAGGAAGGGCATTAACCAAACTACATCTCATATTCTCAACTCAACACCCACTCTCATGGCACCCAAGAACAATGGACCAACTAAGAAAGCAGTGAACAGAGGAGCATGGACTCCAGAAGAAGATAAAAAACTAGCCCAATGCATTGAAATTCATGGAGCAAAGAGGTGGAAGACTGTTGCAGTCAAATCAGGTTAGAGTCAAGCTCCTATATAACTCTAACCAAGTACTAATTACAAGTAATTAAAAAGAAAAGGAAAAAAAAATAAAAAATTGTGTAACTTGAAACCAAAACAAGTTCTTCAATTTTGTTAACCTTTTTTATATGCTTTGGCAGGTCTAAATAGATGTGGAAAGAGTTGCAGACTGAGATGGTTAAATTATTTGAGACCCAATATCAAGAGGGGTAACATATCAGATGAAGAAGAGGATTTGATCCTTAGGCTTCACAAACTTCTGGGAAACAGGTTTGTTAATCTACAATTATAAACCACTCGCAGTTAAATCCGACTAGCGAGTGTGGGAGAGAAGAAATCCTTATACGCAGTCTTACTCTTGCACAGTTGCAAAGAGGCTGTTTATCTGCAATTATAGTTGAAGAAAAATGCTATATGAATTCTTGGACATTGTGATTGAATTTTGTTGTGTCTAGGTGGTCTTTGATAGCAGGGAGGCTTCCAGGACGAACAGACAATGAGATTAAGAATTATTGGAATTCTCATTTGTGCAAAAAAGTCAATCACAAAGAGAAAAAATTAGAAATTTCTACCACTCTAGAAACTACAGAACAGAACCAGAACACTAGGGACAGTGCCGTGTTAGAGCATGAGGAAGCGATTAATGGGAGTGGTAACTCAGATGTTAACTTTGACGTGAACGAGTTCTTCAACTTCCCTGCTGAAGGATATGATTGGGTGAACATGTACTTAGAACTTGATCAGATTCCTCAGAGCACATAAAAGATCTGAATGAACATTATGGTAGATCTGTGTGAAAAAATAATAGTTGTTGAGTTCTAACTATGTAGCAGAGTTGTTGTTCCATGATCGCTATTTCTAAGTGGGATAGCTTTTCTTTGTTTCTATTGAAACTTGCCATTTGCTCTGTAATGTGGAAATAATGGTGGTTGTTGATGTAAACATGAAATGAAATCGTGGTCTTTCATCTATTTGCTGCTTTTTTTAGTTTGTAAATAAATTATGAGTTTAATATTTCTCTTATTTTATCTCCTATATAATCATAAAAATATATAGGCTTGAAAGAAGAGAGAAAAAAAAAGAGAAATATTAATCTCATAAATTATATATATATATCACAAAATTGATTGCTATCCAAGAATTGTTGGTTTAGTGATCTAGACTCCACAATTTGATCTGCCAAGGACAGTGAATTTGATTTTTAAGAGTGCAACTCGTCGGGAGGGTGGAAATATTCAAACTCGAAATAAGATAAGTCGGGTTTGTCAAGTAGTTTGGATACCAATTGGTTTCTAAAAAAAAAAAAAAGTTTTATAAAAGTTATGTCGTAGAAAAAGTGATTGTGTAATGTTATAGATATTCGTTTTGCGTGCCTTAGTTTTCTTTTTTTCTTTTTTCTTCAAAAAGTTGGACTCCACAAAATATTGTGTGTGTAAAAAAGTTTGTTGTGTCATGTTAAATGATAAGTACAAAGCACACAAAAAAATGACGATGGAATAGCTTGAAGTGTCAAATTACGCACGTGTAAGGTAATTAAGAGATTACAGTACAGATATTTATGTAAACATATTGTGCTCAAAATGCAATTTTGAATTTGGGAAGTAGATGAAAACGACTGATGAAAATGATTGAATCAATTATTTATATTCACATCAATGATGCCTTGGCATCGTCATTCAAGCCTCTGTTTCCCTCCCAATGATTGTAGAAACTGAGTCTAAAAGCAAGCAGGCTCGCCTTTTGTTTGTTTCAATCATACACGAACACGACCATGTCTTATTTGCTTTGACTTAAATATGATTTGTTTTTTTTTTTTTTAAATTACTCTCATTTACTCGTGTTTAGAAAAATACATCAAGTTTCACTATTTAGAAATTTTGTTGTTTATGTAGCATTACTTTACTTATTACTTGAATAAATTAAATAAATTCTTTGCAGTCTTAGCATTGCTTTACTTATTACTACAATAGTTTATAATATCGATAACCAACTTACTGCTCCTCGTACAATAGTGAACACTTAGCTTGTAGTAGATGTTCTTTTATCAGGGTTATCTACAAAATCTGAATTTAATATAGGGATTTGTATTTGTCATTTAACATGATACAACAAACTTTCCTACACACACAATATTTTGTGGAACCCACATTTTTTGAAGAAAAAAAGAAAAAAAAGGAAATTACGGCACGTAAAACGAATCTCTATAATATTATACAATCATTTTTTTTACAACATAACTCTTATAAAACTCTTTAATATATTGCTTTACAATCTCCGAAAATATTTCTTTAAGTGTCTTACGTCACACTAGTAACATTTGAAATTCTGCTTCTTCCTAACTTTAATCTACTAGGATTATGACTCACACTCAAGCAACACGCAATTGATCTCCCTCTCATCATCGATAAAGCCTATGCTTACTTTGAACTTTTCAATTTTTCCTCCTTGTTCTTTTGCGAGATACTTCTTTAAGAATTGTAACAATAATATCATCAAAAGACGGGTTGTCGATGAAACCTTTATCGATAAAGCCTAACTTTTGATAATAATACGAAGGGGAAGGTTATATTTACAAATTTTTAACCACAAGAAGTCTAAGTGAAAATATGAAATCACGAAGGGTTAAATGATAAATTATTTAAGTACAATAGGTCTAAGTGATAAGTTTAAAACCACGGGGTCAAATGATAAATCACAAAACCACAATAGGTGAAAATAAAATTTACCTTTTTTATTTACAAACTACACTAAGTATGACTGGTCATACTTCAATTAAGAGTGTATGACCCGTCATACTTAGTGTAATTTATAAAAAAAAAATTGTAAACAAATCTTTCTCCCAATTAGATAAACTTTGAAGTTGAAACTTTACATATTCATCGATAAAACCTCTGCTTTCTTTGAATTTCTGAATCTATCTTGTTAACAATTATATCACCGAAAGATGTGTTGTCGATGAGCCCTTATTTATTATATACTAATGGTGGTTGATAATATTATGAATAACGTAAACTTTGAACTAAAAGTTCTGCACGTTCAGTTTTCTGCAGTGCTTGACAATATTGAATCTGTCATTACTAGATGCAAATTGGCAATAGTGTTTTCATCCAGTTGTTTCCACTTTCATAGGTTACTTATACATGCCTGTCTTCAATTGCTAATAAGCGATTATCCTTCTTCAAAACTGTCTTTATCTTTAGTTTTCATAGGGAGAAATCACTCACTCAATTTTTCAATCTCAAATTTTGTTATCATAGTATTAACATTATGTTTATTAAGTTAATTTATTTGATTACACTATTTCATCGTGAATGGTATAGTATATATGAACAATATTTAACGTACAAATAATAGCATATACTATAACAAATCCTATATACACTAACAATATTACAAAAGTACACAAACACACGCATGAACAATACCACAGCTTAAATAGCAACTAACAATCAATAAGCTTCGATTGGTTACTAGAGTTATGGAAACAATATCACACAAAAATAGAGACATAGAGTTCAGAGAAATTATAAACTAGTGCTTCAATTGATAAGGGAAAAACTATAGTTGAGAATAGAAGAAGAGGTAAGCATTTTACATCTGTGTGTAAGTTACGCTCTAAATTTTAGTAATTGATATGTTTATATCTAACAACTCAAAATTTTTAGATATGTAAACTAATGCAAGGGAATCAATGATTAATATTTAAGAAGATATTTTCTCATTTCATCAATATAAGTTTTTTTTTTTTTATAAACTACAAGTATCTTCTACGAAAGACAATCGCAATCTTACTGAAGAGGATTGAATATATGTTCTCACCCACCTGTTTAGGTCTCATGCAGCTACCACCATTTGGTATATCAATATAAGTTAATCCTACCTTATATAAAAAAAATTCATTAATTAAAAGAAATTAAACTTCTCTCTATAGAACAATAATTACACTCCCTCTTAAAAAAGGAAAATACACCTCCAGAAACCATCAAGATGGACGAGAACCTCATGCAATGTATTACGCAACTCCACCAAAAGAAAAAAAAAAAAAAAACTATTCCTTCTACCCCACCTGACATACACATTAAAAAGGAAAATTGTCTTGTCTAGTTATGCACTGTCAATTTTCCAACATTCCGCATATAATTGCGTCCTTTTTTTAACTTTTTTTGTGGGCTTTATTGCATGTCTTGCCTGTCGCTACGTGAGTAAAGAAAATAGAAAGAGGGAAATTATAGAAAGCAAAAATGCTTTTTCTCTTTTTAATTTCCCTTTCATTTCTTCCCAATAAATTCAAATCTTAATATAGATAAAGTAACTGTGGATACAACAAAATATCTCCCTCTATAGTTTGTACATAAGAAGCAACTTAAGAGTTCAAGGCATGAAGGTTACAGTGTTTGGAAATAAAAGCCATTACTCCTTACATAGATAATAATTACAGGGAATTCCAGAAAAATTCCATAACTATTAACCATATTACCTGGCTTAGAATCAAGTATGCAGCTTTATAGTTCCTCAGATCAAGTATTCAACCATTTAATAAATTAAATCAATCAAATGCCTTATGTATGACGCCAACCGTTAAGTAATAAAAGTTGCCAGAGTCCTGCATTTTACCCATCAAGAATACTTTTTGACTCTTTCGAATATCCATTCCAAACAAGATCGTGCTTTCAAATTTCATGTACATAATAAATACCAAAATGATTTCTATATTTGCGGAGTTTGAATCTGGTGCAGCTTGTTGAACCATATTGAATGCAAAATCATGTGAAACAGATCATATTTTATTGGTCTTGGGTTCCAAAGGAAATGCCTCTGTACCATCTTCACGTTATTTTGCATTGAAAGATATTTTCTCATAGGGATGGACAATAAAATTTCCTTCAGCCTTGGAATATCCTTCTCGGCCACCACCACAGAAAAAGCACTCCAGTCCAGAACTTCACTAAAAGGAAGGACAAAATTATCCGCAATGATCACAGGAACACACTCGTAATATATGGCTTCAACGATCCTAGGGCTATTAACTTCAAAGCCCATTGGACATATACAATATTTACTTGATTTCATGTGTTGAATATAAGTCATATTTTGGGAAACTTTCATAGGTAAACGCTTGTAGATTTTCATGTCTTCATCTTTGTCACCACCCCAATACTTGAGAAGAGTGGGACGCACTCTACCATGCATGCTTCCAGCAAAGAAGGCAAGGATTGGACGTAGTGATGCCCTATTCCCACCAAGATATCTAAGAGGTCTTCTTGCTACCCTTATGGTAGTTTCTGGTAGGGAAACATCTCTTCCTGCAATAAAGATTCTTTCAGACAGATCAGCATTACATAGAGCTTTTATGGTGTTTCTGGTTAGTTCCTCATGTTCTATCACTGTGTAAGGACCCTGCAAAGATGAGTTTGAACAGAAGGCATTGAAAATGACAATGACTTTCTATAAAGTAATACTCATAAATGCAATTGATCAGGTTCCAATATGGATAACACTGAATAGACTACATTGCAAGAAGGAAATCTATGATCTTCAATCTCTCCACCAATATGGTCAATATATCTCAACCACACATCAGCTGCAGACTTTGCATGCTGCTTTATCAGTACATAATTTTTTGGCAGTCACGAATAAACTTTGGGGGTGTGCACATGCATATAAGTAAGAGATATCTTTGAAAACTTCAAGGAAATAAATGTTCACCAAAGAATTGTTCAATAATCACAAGCGAGAAAAGTAACAGTGAGTGCCACAGAAAAACAAGTACAAGATGCAGACTTTCATACTCAACATGATAGAGACCTGCATTATTGCCTATTTCAAGGTAATAGAAGACTATAAAAAAAGATATGCTGCTTTAGGGAAATTGGAATTTACAAAAGGGAACTGACCGGTTACAGAAGGAGTAAGAGAGATTAAGCAGGAATTTTTCCTTAGGGGAATAGAAAAGGAGGAAGTGCATTTTAAATTAAAATAAATGGGTGGAGGCAATGAGAAAGCATGTTTGCAAGCCATGTAACACACAGAAACAGAAACAGAAACATCTTTAAAATATCATGTCATGTGTGTTTGTGTGCCCATACTAGCCAAAGTCTCTCATATCGTCACTAGTTTTTGTTTATTATTACCTATTATATGGGTGCATCTTTTAAAAGATCAAAGCTATTCAAAGTTCTTTGTTCTAAAGATTTTCATTTTCATTTTCCATCTAATTAATGTCAAGCATACAGACATGGAAAATTAAGAATTAAAAATCCTAATACTATTATAGCAATTATCAATCTTAGCAAAATCAAATTATCAGAATCAACCATTTCAATGGAAAACAGACACATGCCCCATACCCAGTCATGGCAAGCAACAAGGAAATGGTCTGACCCATGTGTGCGATTCCAGAAGGGATACTTTGCAGCAATCTTGATCACATAGTCCCTAAGAAAGATTGATAATGGTTTCAAATTATGTGACCCAGGCACATAAAGTGCTTGCTCCATTTGGCGTGCACTGTATGGAAGATAAAATAAGTGAGCCTTCTCGGGATCCTTGGTGACAAATTGCTTATTTTCCTCCATTAACTTCATAAACCATCCTTCAGAAGCATAGATTCCCTTAAGGTAAGGTTTGTGAAAAATGGGCCTTGCTCCATCACGATATATATAAACTTTAAGTATCGTTTCCATCAATTCATAGCTCCTAAAATTGAGGCACAATATTTCTTCAAGATGGTTTTTAACATAATAGATGATGCTATTGTCATACCAAAGGTGCAGTACAATCTAAAGACATCAGCAGCAGCAATTAACAAGCTTGGGGTCATATTCATAACGGCAAATGTTCAAAATTGGTAATCATGAACTGAAGAGTTGTGAAGAGGTTACGATGGAATACTTATTTACAAGTTACTACGAGTACAAATCAACGAAACACAGTTTACAGTCCACAAGTTACACAACTAGCTCCCCAACTCTTCATATTTCAAGCTTCACTTTCTTAAAAGCTAGAAGACTTGGTGGAGGGAGATGTTATAGAAAGACAATGAAGTAACTGGTGCACAGTTTACAACTGTTTTAAAAGATATTAAAATTATAGACATGGTCAAAACCAAAATATTTACTAAAAAAAGGAGGTTGACCGGTCATTGATGTGGCTGTTTGAAAACCACCTCTCAAACTACCTATTTGAAGGATTTATTGTTATCAGAGTTATGATTGTAATAAAATTTAGGCTGAGTGGTTCTTTGAGAAGGTAGTTGATAAAGTGGTCTAAAGTTAAAGCCCTGTTGCCAGAGTCTTCAGATTCTATGATGAATTTATGCCTTTTACACTTTTCCAAGTTCAAAGTCAAGTGGTTCTCTAACACAGATGAATAGGTATTCATGGAAGAGGGCTATACACAGAACTATTTGTTTCTTTTTTTGTGTTGATTGAATCATTTAAGGAATGGCGTTACACGGTAAACAGCCATCAGCCAACATTGAGTAAAAGTTAAGATTTTAAAGCGTATAAGAAAAGCTTGCCCTCCCCTCCTCAACATAAACAAAAAAAATGTCACAAAAAGTGGATTCTATTCTCAACAACAACAAAAAAAAAATCACTCCCCGTTAAACCCGGCTAGCGAGTGTGGACTATTCTTAACAAAATATAACATAAAAAACATTAATATCCTGTTTCAGAATGATAAAAAGCTTATTGTGCAAAAACAAAAAAGGGACAAGTCTCCTCTAAAATGAGCTTGTCTCTAAAGTAAACAAGGGCGTATCCTTTCTTAAATAATTTAATTAAATTAAGGGTTGATACATCCTTACTTACTCACTTAGAGGAGCTTTTTCCTTCATTTTTATCATTCAAAAATTTTCAGAGAAATAAATAACCCAACACCTACAATTCATGCCAAATTCAGTAACAAAAGATGAATAACTATGCACAATAAAAAACAAAAATAAAAAAAGTAAGTACCTTCTGAAAACAGAAACGTTCCTAAACAAAGGAGCATAGAGATTAGGATCTTCACTAACAGAAGGGGCATGATCAATCTCTTTCTTTGCATACATAAGGGCCTCATTAGGTGGCAAAAACTGCATCTGTCTCTGAGATATATATGTCCAGCAATTTATTGGTCACAAATCTCCTCATCATACTTAAAAAAGGAAAGAAGTAAGTTCAAAATCTCATCAACTTCTACCTGCTTGTGAGAAGGAACATGGCCATGAGGGGATGAAGATAATGTAGCAATTTTTGTTGTATCAGCAAGTTTTTTCTCCTCTTTACCCAATTCTTCTAAATTCTCTTGCTTAACTGAGACTGATTGTACTAACGTATTAGACGAATTAGGCATAATAAGGGAGTTAGGAAGACTGAGTTGAACCTGTTGAAGTCTTGCCCCTTTGAGAAGTTCACTAGGCTGCACAGTGCTATTGTAGTATCGATACAAAGAATCAGTTTCATGAAGAGAAAGTAACAATTTGTTTGGTAGAATTAGATAACTATGTATAAGCATCTGAAACACAAAACCAGACACAGTCAAAATAGCCGCAAGAAGAATCAATCTTCCCCAATCAATTTTGTTCCCAAAGCAACGCCATGATAGCTCCCTCATCAGGGTAAAAGCAATATGCTGCAACCACTTTTTCAACATAATATCTGAACAAGCCTAGTCACCATAACTCCAAGCATGCTATTCAGCTATTCTATAAATCTCATCATTTCAAAACTGAAGCCTATGAAATTGAAACTGCAATGTAAGGAAGGAACAACCAAGATCAATTATTAATAGTTCTAAATATGTTTAACATCAAGAACTTCAAATTCTTTTTATGCCATGCTTTGAATCTCAAGAAGAATGCATGGAATAATAAAGTAATATTTATGCATAATTAGTAATTCGCGGTTTGAATGAATAGGAACCAGAAACGTACCCGGTTTAGATGATAGATCCGAATTGATAAGCTCCGCCGCCGGTCACAGAAATTGCGAGACCGACGGTAAAAGCTCCGTGAAGAAAAAACAGGGTACAGCACAGCCTCCGCGTGCAAACTGTTAGTCTGTTATTATGACGAAGCTAATTGCTAAACCACGGCACAAAGAACAGCTTCTTAACTCCACAGTCAACTTTTACTTTTTCTTTTCTTTTTATTAATATTAAATTTAACATTTCGGGACTTGGCCGGTCACATTATTGGATTAGTATTATCGTTATTTTGAATTTGCCTCGTAATTATTTTATTCTACTTTTGAAGTTGTTATGGTATCATGATCATTCCAAAATATAAAATCAATTATATAATTAAATGTGTTTTTCAAAAACAATTTGTATTTTTTTTGTTAAACTATAACAAATTGTATTTTTAATGAATGTTCAGCAGTTTGTTGATTGAGAAAATTAATAAACTTTTTAAAAATTAAAAAAAAATTAAAATGAAACTAATCTAAATAAAACTGGCATAAACGATGGGCTAGGGCCTAGGTTCATGGCATGTTTGTAGGGTGTTCGTGGTCTGAATTGGATCGGTTTTAGAAGCAAAAATCATCTGATCTAATCTCTTCGGTTTGATCATGTAATCATCCATTCGGTTTGAATTTTTTTCCAAATTCGATCCGATTCAATCCAATTTTTTTCTGTTTGGATTGGATCGGTTTTCGGTTTTTTTAAATTCCTAAAATTTGTTTCATGGTTATTGTGCAAATAACATCTTTTGTATAATAGGCTTTGTAAATTTTTTTTTTTTGAAATAGAAAAGCATCGGTAAACGATAATATAATTTTTTTTTTTTGGCAATGAGATATGGAGCTTTACACATATAAAATTTTGTTGAAAAGATGTGACTAGATTTTTTCTTGAGTTTAATTGATGGGTTAATGAGTCTTTGGTTTAGAAATTTTTGGGATATAATTGGAAAAAGACCCAAGTAGGTAGAGGAGAATTAATATAATGGATCGGTTTGGATTGGATCATTTTTTATCAACCCATCCGAAAATCGATCAAATCCAATTAAAATTTGCAGTTTTTTTTCGATTCTCGGTTTTTCGGTTTTCGATTTATTCGGTTATCGGTTTTTCGGTTCGGTCACCGCGGTTTGAATCAGTTTGGATCGGTTGATGAACACCCCTAATGTTTGGTGCATAGTATAGGATAAGACCTGATAGTATAAGACCTGATACTATAAGGCCTGATTGTATAAGACCTGATTGAATTTTAATACTATCCAGCGTTTGGCACGGTATTGTATAAAATAATATATTGTATAAGATAATATCATCTAGTATTTGATAATGCACTGTATAATACTATATAGGATAAAAATAAATATCCTTTAATAAAAAATTTATATAATTCTTCAAAAAATGTCGTATGATATTAATTTTTATAAAAATTTATCGATCAATGTGTCCAAAACATAAATTAATTTTTATAAAAATAAAAATATTCAGTATTTTAAAAATTAATATATTGAAAAATTAATTTTTATTTTAATATATTAATATTAAAATAATATATTAATTTTTGAGAATTACACTCGTCAACAATGTTAATACACCAACCTCTTATTAGGCTCTATCCCTCTCCCTTAGGCCAGATTAAGTTATACATTGTTTTGATGTATTAAGGGATCCTGCTATATAAGCTTATACTATACGATTGTCACACCAAACAACAGAAAATGTTGGGTATGTTAGGGAGCAGTCCTTGTAATCCTTTCTAGTTGTTAGTAGTAATAATACTATAATACACAACAACAAAAATAATATCCCTTCTAACAATAAATAAATAAATAAATAGTGGCTTTCTAGTTGTTCAGTTAAATCAAATTAAGCGCTGGATCGCGTTTTTATAAATTCCATGAAATAAACTGGTTTGGAAAGGTAATGCTTTTTTTTTCACTTGATATGTTTTTATTAATAATTATAAAATAATTCTATTATTTTATTTTCTTTTTTCTTTTTATGTTGAAATTGTTAGGTTTGAAACCCAAGTTATAAATTCCATGAAATAAACTGGTTTGAAAAGGTAATGCTTTTTTTTTTACTTGATATGTTTTTATTAATAATTATAAAATAATTCTATTATTTTATTTTCTATTTTCTTTTTATGTTGAAATTGTTAGGTTTGAAACCCAAAGGATGACAAACTTGGTAGTGGAATTTGCCTCAAGATCTAAATTGGACCCATAATAAATGGGCTAAAGGATCCAATCCATTAATAGCCCAAGAGACCCAATAATAAAATCTTAAAAGTAAGAAAATGCATTTATCTCGTATATATGTCATCTTGGAGATACACGGTTGGAGTGACAGTAACACTGAGTTCATAAGCCTACTCAATAGTCAACGACTGAAGGACAAATAAGAGGTTCTAGTTAGACATAGGGATAGGCTACAGAAGCCACATAAACCCACCAATGGAATCGGATGCTGCTATACTAAGACGGCACAAGTAGGTCATGTCATTGCTATATAAAGAAGGCTCAAAACTCAAGTATAATCATCTTATCCATAATTACTTAAGTTCATTAATCAAATATTGACTTGAGTGTCGGAGTGTTTTGCAAATATCTCCCTCATTTGTCCCAACCAAATAAAAATCTCCAGCATGAGTACAATCATCCCGAAGGGTTATCCCACGACATCAATTATCATATCCCACTACAACAAACTCACTTCACATGTCAATTGGAACAAGCTCAACTGCGTGTGGTCATACTCAACATTTCTTGGACTAATTAGGATCAAGTTGTAGGTTTGATCCTTGAAAAGACTTATTAGGACTAGAGGCAAAACTTTTACACTCTAAATTCTCTGCAAGAATAGTGTCACTTTAACTCAAATTGAATACACCTTTTGTTTTAATGAAAAACTATCTTTTTGGCCATACTACAAAAATAAAAATAAAAAGATTATTGAAAGTGGTTGAGTAGAGACACCTTTGTTTAAAAAAAAAATTGTTAGGATTGATTTGGTTAATTATGAATTGAGTTAATGGAAGTAGCGGTGAATTACAATTCTAATTTGGATGTGTTCCGTATAACTATGTGGATTGGTGAACTTATTAGTAATAGTTTATGGGAAAAACTACTTTTATGCAACATAAGAGTAGTTTTGTTTTTAAGAGTAGTTTTTTTATCTTCAATAGACCCATCGAAAATCATGACATTATTTTTTTTTTCTTTTTTTCTTGTAAATGGTGGCCCCCACCATATATGTGTCTACAATATGAGAGATCCTCTCTCATGTAACATGAGATTAGATGAATCCATAGTTTATTAATTGATAAATATTTTTAATGTATTATTTTTTATTTAATAAATTTTATGTGAGTTTAATTAAAGACTTGAATTTATTTTTATTTTGTAATACGTATTTATTCACCTCATAATAAAGTTTAGTATTAAAAAAATATGTAAAAAAAATAACATTTTCTCACTTGATTATATTTTTACAAGAAAGGGCAAATGAATAAACTAAACATAAAATTCTAAAGAGGCATTAGAAAGCAAGAACGACAAAAACAAGCATTATTTCAAAAGTTTAAAAAACTGTTGGTAAGCGAGAAACCAATCTCCTAAGGGGCTGTTTGGTTGAAGGAAAATATTCAGAATGATAGATAAATGAGAAGTGGGAATATAAGAAAGTTACGTTTGGTTCAAGGTGGTTCCTAGTTTAGCTACCTAAATGTGATTCCTAGCAAACGTATTTGCATAGCTATTTCAAGACAAAAAGCCTGCCAAAGTTGTCCTTCGCGTAGGTGGTATTGCTGAAAAGCTCGATATTTTCTCACACCGCGTACAAACCCAAAGACGAGCGTACCCCTTGTCTGCGCGCGAAAGGACAATGTCGCATCAAATGTATTTGCAGACTTGTTAGAGTTGTCACTTCCAAAGACCAAGACTTGCACTGAGGCACAGGGAAGCATGCAAGCGAATGGGTCTGCGAAATAGGCTTCACCATCGTCTTCTTTCTGGTCTGAAACCCAAAGGAAAGCATCATCAGTGAGCACGAAGTGCGGTTGCTGTGGGAGGTAACTCGGTGGAATAAAAAATTTTGTGCCTTGAGGTGTTTTTGGGTGCTTTCCACACAAAGACTGGCTTTTTCCCTTCATCGATGGTTTTAGAATTTCTGGGACTATATGGACCTTTCCTTAATCAAGGTAGTGTGGTTTAATGAATGTAATTTTGTCATTTTCCTTATGTAGTCTATATTCTGTAAGTTAATATAATTGTGATATGTAAACCAGGTTCAAGTCACTTGTCCTTTAGTGTCTGTACTTAAATCCTCTTTGATATTTTATTTAGTAAGATGGTTATCAACAGAACACAGTGATAGTATTTTATGCTTGCTTTCTTTTAATTAAGTTGATGTTTCTATTAACTAAGGAATTTCGTATGGAATGCAGTAATGATGACAAAATCAATAATTCAGATTCAGAATTTTGCATTTTAGTTACTGGAGAGATTACTTGTACTTTGAATTTTGGTTTGGTAAAAGATAAGGGGAAGGGTTGTGTGTTCCTGATTGAAAATTAAAGAGGCATTCACCTTTTACATAAAAATACATTCAAGAAAATTACAGGTGATTTGAGGAAACAAATGCCCCCTTGTCTAAGCTACAAACGACTGTCCAACATAAAAGCTAGTGCTTAGATAAGAAAATATAACAATGTTAATCCCTAAAAGGTCACCACCAACATGAGCAGTTAGCACTAACTAGTCATTGAAATGAGAGACAGCTACTACAATTGCCCAGTTCTTCAACAATGGCTTCCAACACTTGTCTCAGCAAACCAACCTGTGGTAGTGTATTCAGCCTGCCATAAGAAAAAGGAGACAGATCATGAATTCAGTTAAACTTATAGGCAACAAACAAACTCATGTGTATATAGTATAATCCAAAATTGTTTAAAGAAATATTTTCCAACAATAACATTACAACTACAGGTTTATAACAACATACACTAATAAATTTAAATTTCATTATTAATTATTTGTTTAGTTCTTTTCAGCATAAGAATAGTTTAATCCAACTATCACTGATTCCTAACTTCTTATGTTCTAACCAATATTAATAG